CAACACCCAGGCAGGATGGAGCAGAACGTAGATTTCACAGAAGCAAGAGGTAACTTTTTTCAACATAATGCAATGGGTAGTGATGAGAAGAGAACAAAGCTTGGACAATTAATTTTGTGCTTCTAGGAGTAGATTAGCTTATCAAACTATCATGTGATTTTGCAATCAGGGTTGTTAACTGTTGGCAGCAGCACCTCGTGTCAGAAATGAAAAGGATTAAGACATAAACACTCCAGTACAAAAAGCAACCCTACCTTCATCTCCTTCAGGCGCATAGGAAGCTGTGATAATGTCAATGTCAGCACAGTTCATCACAATTTGGTTGGTCGCCTGTTTCACCTGAAAGATAAATGTCATGAGTATCAGGAAGAAACGGTGTTCCCTGCTCCCCTGAGCTCCCTTAGCTAAGTATTCCCACCACCCTTTCATCTGGAAACCCCTCCATCATCAAGTGTTTGGAACAGAATTTAGTACTTATGGGTGGTAAGAAAGAAAAATCCATCCCCCTGCCTGCTCTCCTTTGTTCTGGAACATGCTACTTGAATCATGTTCAAGCCATGCAGGCCTACTTATCAAGACTGTAAATTATTTAAGGGAATGAACTGCCTGTTAAAAATTGGTATGAAAGCTTGACAATGGGGCCCTTGTACGTGCCTGGGAATCCAAGACCAATAAAAATAGATAGAGAGCCTTCAAGCTTCCTTTTGGAGATGACAAGAAAAGCCTTTGAACACAAACTTACATCTTGGAGATGATCACAAACACAACCTACAGGGCCATGGTCTGAACTGTCGACACTAAGAACTTCTTAGGTTAAAAACATCTGCCAAGAAATTTGCCTTTACATTTTCCTGAAAGCTTTCCTCCTGCCAGCTCTTGGCTACACACTCTTTGCTTTATTTAACAAGTGGCCAGCTCCCAGCATAGTAATCAACTGTCACACTGTGCCAGCTTTCTGTTTGGATGCAAAAGCTTGAATACAGAGGAATTCAAATTAAATATCAATTAATTACAAAGGAGTAAAATATTTGGGAATTAAACTAGGCATTATTTAGAAAGTTATGGCTGAAACCACTTGAATCATCACACTGGATCGAGCTGGTAATCCTGCTAGTCCAGAGTATAGTTTCTAGCAATAGACAAGGCCAGTTATTTAAATAAAGGTGCAGAAATTTCTGTATCAGACAACTAGAGTTTGATGTATGCACGAAGGAACTACTTCTACCCTGGCCACAAAGTTCCTTAGAGCATAAGGACTGACATTCCTTCCTCAAATTTTCACTATTACAGCATGAAAATGCCATCTTAACACCTACCTGTGTTTGAACACACAGTAGAAACCAACTGGCCCTCTGGGATGGGAAGGGGTTCCTGTGGATCCCTTTGCCTCTGGAGCAAGCACAGCAAGGGGATCTGCACATGCACACCAGTCCACCCAGCACACCTCTGAAGGTAAAGGCTTTATTACCAGTAAAGGCAAAATAATGAGCTCTGAATTTTCAGAGTAGAAGCAGACACTTGCCACTCTGCCATAAAGGAGCTGATATCTACACCAGATGAGTAAACAGAAGCAGATATTCAGGCTTGATCTGTTTTACCTATGCTCCCTGAGAAATGGTTCCCGAGTCATTGTGTACATAAAAACCAAATTCTACTCCAGATAAGAGAGGCTTAAGAAATTCAAAGTCATAACTTAATAGACACACCCACATCACAAAGATGGTCCATCTGGTCTAATCATCTGTGAACTAAAGAGTTCAGAGGAAACAGGTGCTCCTAGGAAACCTCCAGAGTGGATGGTTAAGACCAAACAAACCTAATTCAGGAGTTTCTTCCTAAGCTCAGCCACTAACTTTGTTCTGAAGCAAATGTCCATGGCTTATTCCAATTAACAGAACTCTCTGTATAATTCATATTACATAAGGGCTGGTACTTTTTGACAAATGTAACTATCAGGGAATCTTCTCAAATCCTGCTTGTCAGCCACCCCACTGCAGCCTGTGGTACAGAGCAGTGTACCTCTGCCTGTGGTACAGAGGAGCTGAGCAGCTTTCACCATGTTGCCTCTTTATGGTAATAAAACCAAAACCATGTTACCTAAAAAACTGAACCTGATTCTAAAAACAAACACTCCTGCAAAGTGTAAAGGGAGCCAATGATTTGATGCTTCTCATAGAGATTTACAATCTGAAATCTTTTTTTCCCCAATTTGTTGTGCATGAAACTAAAGGATTAAAACACTTCTCAAAACCTAAGATCAAAGCCCCACAGTTTCCCTCACAGTACCAGGGTTTAGGGTTTTTCAAGGTCTTCTAAAACACAGAAAAATCAGAGTGAGAAAAGCTTTTTATAAATGTCTACTTGAGACCTTTATTCAATCTACAAATCCAAATCTCTATGGATTAAGAATTCAAGATGCCTAAAGAGCTGTCCAAATCGCAGACAATGCTGGGTTTAACAATAGGCTTGATGGTTAAAAAACAACCTCTTCTGAGGACAGGAGAATTTTCAGTGTAGCCCTGGGCCTGCGAAATAAGTTTTAAGTTTACACAGAGACAACCTCAGAGGCTCCTTAGAAAGGCAATTACCTATTTTACTTTTTTTCTTACCTCCTACAAGTATCAAGCCAGTTTTACAAGAGTGGGACATGTTAGAGAACATTTAAAGGGACTGAGTGAACCAGCAGTCCAAGAACGTTTTACCCTCCAACTCCTGTAAAACGAAGGGCAAAATTCAGGTGCAGAAATGAACACTGACAGTGTCCTCACAGCACACTTCTGAGACTCTCATAATTTAATTAGGTGGGGAGGGGGGGGAGGTTTTCATGTTGGCACACAGGCTGCAGCATGAGAGCCTCCTCCCTCTGATCCACTAAAAATAATGAGGCACAGACACACTTGTAAGAACAAAACCAAAACTCTGAACCACTCAGCACACTTCACTTATGACCACTCTACCTCACAAGAACCTGCTGATTGCAGGCACCATGTATGATGAAGATGAATTAATGTGTTTTACTGCAAGTGGTGCCTTGAAACTGCTTCTGCCTTTCTGCAAACACGATGTTTTGGAAGGCAGATCCTCTGCCCATGCAGTGCTTTTCATGGATGCAATCATACAAAAGGCAAAAAAGCATCTTGCTGCATAAGGTCCAATCAATTACAAACTGTCACCCTGCTCCCCTTGCTCTGTAACATAATCAATTGACTCTTCAATGAGAAGAGGCTAATCAAGGCAAGAGCAAGCTACAAATGCCCACGATGAAAGCAGCTTTGCCACAGGGGCTGACACTTCAAAGCAGCAGATGAACCAAGACCAGCATCTGGAATGAAGGAATGTTTCAAAATGTTCGACCTGGTCCTTTTGATGAAACTCCAGAAAAATTCATCAGAATTCAAAAACCTACTGAGATGAGCCAGACACAGATACCACAAGCAGGACTGCCCTGCAATAAAGGTGCAGACCTTTAAGACATTTCCACTATGTCAGGAACCTTCCCAACCTCTTCACAGCCACCTTTGTGGTCAGGCTTTGCTTCTGGGAAGGAAAATCTCACCCATGAGGAGAGAACATCTTAAGTTCCCTCCAAAAGTTTTCCAAGGCAACACTACTTGACAAAAGAAGAGAGATAAAAAGGCTAATTATTTGGCTCAGGACTGGAAGATGCTTTAAAGCTTTTGGTTTTCACTGGTTATCAGAGCAGGAAATGGCTTGATGGAAAAACCTTTTCCCTCAAGCTGAGTGGCTTCAGTAGAATGCCAGCCTACCCAAAATACAGGATTAGGTGCACCAAAAAACATCTTCCATAGTTAAAACTAATTTTCTAGAGCCATTTATAAGACTAGATTATTAAAATCTTGTCACTCAGCTTCAGAGTCCTTTTCTAAACGCAGCATTGTAACAAGCATGTATGTTTTTAGCATTTTACTCACTAAAAATAGTCAACTAAAATTACCTCAGTTGTGTTGCAGGATGTATCTTTTCAAGAATTCAAAACTTCAATGAGAAAAGGAATAAAGCTTTCTATTAATCTGCATCTTGAGCAAACTGTGGCAGCCAAAAAGTAAAATTACCAGTGCCATGACTAATAGGCCCACTGGAAAAATTCCCTTCATTCCAAAGAGCATCCAGCCACACTCATCTGTAGGGGTCACACACACTTCAGAAGTGTCAAATCCACCCAGACAAGTAAATCCCTTTGTAACTCTGATCAATGCAACCATCTTAGCCTGATGAATTACAGAGCTGAAAGAGGCCTTTCTGTGGGGAGGAGAGCAAAGGCATTCCTAGTTCTGAAGCTGGTGGCATCAGGGTCCACAGAGCCCTGAAGTCCTTTCTTTGAAGTACCAGACTCAAACACTCAACATGGTACCCTAAACACTCCAGATCTAATTTAAGCTACAATGCTGGATAACCTGACTGGGTATTTATACTAGACCAATCCTCTAAAAAAAAAAAAAAAAGATACTACCCACAAATACTACACCCATTCAACTTAATTTTTCAAGGTTTACATGCAAGAGTGTCAGAATTAATCTTTAACTGGCATGCAAGCAGGACCAAAAAACTACTTATTCCTCAGTCCAGCAGATACTGCACAATTAACCTATAAAAAGCAAGAGATAGAGGTTAAACATTGCTAAATATAACAGACTGTCCTTAAGACATATTCAAGGGGCTGGGAAATATTTAAAAGAGCCATCTACTCAGGTTGTAAATTCTTTACAGATAGGTTGCTTTGCAACCAAGAAACACCTCACTGTCGTCTGCAATGAAATACATGAATCACCACCCTCCAAAGGAGGGAGTTAATCCAGAAGGAAATACCAGGAAGTTAGGAGACAAGCACACACCTCTCTGAAGTTCTGCACTGGACAGGTGATTGTTTGGAGCCATGACACAGTGTTAAGAATAATCCATTTGGCAGCTTAAAACAAATGTTGGTTGAACTTTGGGAGCCAGAGGTTTGTTTCTGTTGCTGGTGACTGGTGTGGCCTCTGGAGTGGGAAGAGAAGGGCCACCCATCCCCTCTTTGTCCCAGCCCTCGGGTCAGCCTCCCAGGTGTCCAAAGCAGCATGGAAAAAAGTTGACCTGGACACTGAGCGACAGCAGTGCACAGCCCTGATAACCAGACCCTGAGGGTCAGGGTGAGAATAATTAAATCTCAAGCTAACAGATTAACTATTTCCACAAAAAAACCCAAAACACAACAATCTGAATTGTGCTCATTCAGAAACATCCTCACACACCCAACAAAGCAACAGTTTAAAATGCTAAAAGATGACAGAGCTGACAGTGATCACAGGACTGTGAGCAGGCGACTCTGATTCTGCTCCAGATCTGCCACTGACACACAG